TTCAGGTTTGGTTTTGAAGAGTGCGTCAAGGGGTCTGAGGGAGGCTCCTTAAAGCACCAAGACCTGTTCAGGGGCTTATAGGGCTGTAATTTAAGCCCCTGAACCCCTAAGCCCTCCTAAGCCCCTGGGCCCCTGAACCCTTATGTCCTAAAACCTTCCAACCCCTGATCCGCCCTTCCCACAAACCAGTATACACCCTCAGCACCCTTGAAGCCAAACAGGATTGCTTCTCCTGATTCCCTAAACAGGAGGAAGAGCAATGGCGCGTGCCTCGGACCCCGGCCGGCTGCCCCGGATCCTGACTTATCTGGGAAGGGAAGGACCCGCAATCTTTACCTTGCCCGGGAGCTGAATGTCGGTTGAGTTCTTCGAAGCCGTTTCCTGAAGGAAAGTTTTGCTGGGCCCGTTGGAGTTGGCGCAGTGGAGCCCTTCAGACTTGGCGGCATGTGTGTGTCGGGAACACTGCTGTCATAGGGCCACACACATGTCCTCGATTTCTCTTCCCATGTTTGAGTTTTGGCGTCTTGTTTTCGACTCGGCAGCTTTTGTCATGCATATCTATGTGTCCGTGGCCATTTTGACAGTGAAGCAGGCAGCTGTGCTATTCCCGGGAAAGGGGAACCTCGACGGACTCCTTGGGTAGAAGCCCCCCGTGTCTGAGCACGGGCTTTTGATCCTAGCTGCTACGTGTTTTTGAGCCCACCCACCTGGCCCTGTTGGGGGACTATGGGAGGAGTCAGCTGAAGATCGCTTCGCGGATGACAAATCGAAGAAACAGCTCGTCAAGTCCTCGTCGCCCGCCGGGTGCCGTGGTTGATCCTCAAGAACATGGTTGTAGGGGGCTTTGTCGCCCAAAAAAACTGGGCGGGGAGGTGGTCGGATGATGATATCTGAGTGCAGGCCCCCGGGTCAGCTCCTGTTGAGAATGCAATTTCCTCTTTTCGGGCCTATAAAAAGAGGACAAGCGCAAAGTCCTCGACATCCATGCGGTGGCAGACCACAAAGCCATGTTTGGGCGGGGAGACAGGAATGAGCTATGTGTGGCTGCTCTGTGACTGGTCAAAGATGGCGCGGGCTCCAACAGCACTGCTTGTCATGTCACGCCGCAACATGAGGACGTATTCCGTGAGCTCCGTCGTGCGTGGTCCTGCCGCCTGGCTTCTTCTCCAAAATCGTGCTTCTGGCAAAAAACAGCCCCCCCTGTCTGACGAAGAGACCCGTCTGCCGCACTCTCCAGCAGAGAAGAGAGCAGAGCAGAGAGCAGCTGGCCAGACTCAGGACAGGCGGCCGTCGGTGTGCTCGTGGTCTGTTGCTGGTGGATGTTCCGTGGCATCGAGTACAACATGCCCGGACCGAACAGACGATACACGGTCACCTGGCCTTCATCATCCTGCCATGCCACAAAACAGACACGGTTGGCATGTGTGTTTGTTCGTGTCACAGATCGACACGCCTGTGCCCAGAGAGCAGAGCAGAGAGCAGAGCAGAGTGCAGAGCAGAGAGCAGAGCAGAGAGCAGGGCAGAGCAGAGAGCAGAGCAGAGAGCAGAGGAGAGCAGCAGAGCAGGGGAGCGCAGAGCAGAGAGCAGAGCAGAGAGCAGAGAGCAGAGAGCAGAGAGCAGAGAGCAGAGAGCAGAGAGCAGAGAGCAGAGAGCAGAGAGCAGAGAGCAGAGAGCAGAGAGCAGAGAGCAGAGAGCAGAGAGCAGAGAGCAGAGAGCAGAGAGCAGAGAGCAGAGAGAGAGCAGAGAGCAGAGAGCAGAGAGCAGAGAGCAGAGAGCAGAGAGCAGAGAGCAGAGAGCAGAGAGCAGAGAGCAGAGAGCAGAGAGCAGAGAGCAGAGAGCAGAGAGCAGAGAGCAGAGAGCAGAGAGCAGAGAGCAGAGAGCAGAGAGCAGAGAGCAGAGAGCAGAGAGCAGAGAGCAGAGCGCAGAGAGCAGAGAGCAGAGAGCAGAGAGCAGAGAGCAGAGAGCAGAGAGCAGAGAGCAGAGAGCAGAGAGCAGAGAGCAGAGAGCAGAGAGCAGAGAGCAGAGTACGCGCTCCGCTTGCGGATAGAGTGGTCTTTGATTTATAGGTGCCCCTTCCCCCTTTGAAGAAGGGGCAACGCAAAACTGTCTTTAAAGTTTCTGAGTTTTCTACCACGTGTGTTTGCAGATCTTGCATGGGCATGATTTATGCAGACGTTTTTCATGTGGTTTTTCGGGGCTTCGCAGTAGGCACAGCTGCTTGAATTCTTCTCTTGTGCAAAATGCAAAGTGCTTGTGCCGCGCTCAGCCCTGCTCAAACAGAGGTTCGTGGTCGTTTGCATACATGGCACATGTGCTTCATTATCACATTTGCAGGCCGTTCTTTAGCGAACTCTTGAGCACATTTGTCAATTTTTTCCTCCATGGGCGACGGCTCGGACACTCTTGTGGAGGTTGCGGTCGAGGACGCCGACTTTTCTTCCTGCTCTGAACCTTTCAGTGTCGAGTCCGTTGTCCTCGAGCTGGAACGTGAGATCGAGGGCGAGCCTGTGGCCCGCGAGGACCTGGCCCGCCGCGTGCAGAATCTCGAGCGAACTGTCGCTGCCCTGCAGTCTCGCTGTGCTGATCTTGAGCAGGACGTGGAAGTGGTTTCTACTCGACTGGCGTCCGTCAACGCCTTCTTGCACGGCTTCATCAGTCGCTTGGGACAGCTCTTCCGCGTTGTCATCAACCGCTTGCCCACTGGCTTCTGAACAGGCTGCCCTGATGGCTTCTTCCTCTAGTGCTTCGGGCCTCCCTGGCCATTCGGAAGGGGGAGAGACTGGGCCAGCGTCCCTCAGCGATGCTCTGGCTGATCCGTCTGACTTTCATTCGCGACTGGTGGCGGCCGAGACGCCAGCAGTTTTGGATGCCACCTCTATCAGTGTTTCAGAGTTCTCTTGGCACGCACACCTTCAAGAAGCCCGAGTCTTACCGCCCCTCTTGCCATGGGAGAGGGGCCCCTTGACTTGGGTCTTTGGAGAGCCGGCTAAAAGATCTCGCATCAGCTTACCAAAGGACTTCGCTGCATCCCCCCTGGAAAAGCATGGGACAGAGAAGGCTCCCCTCGTGATCCATCAGCCAATCCCAGACTTTGCCAAAAGGAGGCTCCGTGTTGCATCTCTACTGGTCACCCAGGACACTTCGAGATGGGAGGCCCTTCGCAAACTTCAAGTGCTGGTGCTTCTGGACCCTTCGGCGACTCAAGTTGGGCAGGTGTTGGCGGCTGAGGCGTCCTTGCTAAGGGACAACAGTTTCTTACAGCGAGCCTTTTCCGATGTCTTCGAGGGGAAAAGCACTTCTACACTGGTGAAAAGGGCTTCTTCCTTGTGGCGCTTCGCCAACTTCTGCATCGACGGTGGCTTCGGGAACCCGCTTGAGGTCTCGGAGCATGCTCTGTACCAGTACATGTTCCACCTCGAAGAGCACGGAAAGCCAACCACGGGCTCCTCATTTCTCCAGGCTTGGAACTTTGCGCTTCACACCCTCAAGTTGAACCGTCCCAGGTCGCTGGGGGCGCTGTCAGCAAGGGTTAAGGGTGCAGCCCAACGGATGTACTCGAAGAAGCGCAAACTGGTGCAAGCCCGACCCTTGACTGTGAAGCAGGTCAAAGCCCTGGAATACGTCGTCCTCAAGGCGCCCTACATTCACTGGAAGATCATCGCTGGCCACCTTCTTCTGTGTGTAGGGTCCAGCAGCCGCTTTGGGGACTCAATTTGCCTGGCAGTCCTCAAGGTTGAAACGGCGCAGGGCTTCACCTTGGTCGAGGCTGAAAGCTCAAAATGGAAGACCGGAAATGCTGCCTCCCGGCGTGCTCAGCTGCTTCCCCTCGCTTCTCTTGGGAAGTTTTTCGCAGATGCTCCGTGGGCCGTCGAATGGATGGCTCTGAGAGAGAAGCTGGGCTTTGGTCTAGATCCAGCACTTCCGGCTTATTCCGAGGCGACTGGCGAGTGGCTGCAGCGGCCTATGTCGACGGGCGAGGCGACTTTATACTTGAGAGAGTTTTTGTCTGCTGCATCTCAACCATATGATGGTGTTGGCTCCCACTCCCTCAAGACGACAGTCCTGTCGTGGGCCGCCAAATCAGCTGAAGTGCCCCTGAGTGACCGCCGCCTGTTATCACGTCGATCCAGGCGTGGCGTCCCCTTTGACATATGCGCGGGATGAACAAACCCGCCTCATGAGGGTTGTACATCGCCTCGTGGAGAGAATCTGCAAGGGCCACTTCCGTCCAGACGACACGAAGGTCTGGCGCTTAGCCAAGCTCATCTCCTCCGATTGTGGGGGCGATGCCCTGGCTGAGAACGTGGTGCAGGGCGACCCGGGCGTGCCGGAGTCCGATGAGGAGGACGATGACTTCGATGAGAGGGACATGGCCGCGAACACAGGGGTCATTTCAACTCGTGAGCCCATGAGCGCTGCAGAGCTTGATGCCACAGCTGATTGTCGTATGCACGTATTTTCCCGTGTGGTGCATGTTTTGGACGGCAATCGTTTTCTTTGTGGTAGGAGTTGCTCGCAGAACTATTCGCCGATTGATGTCAGTGTACCCCTTTGTGACTTGCCTGTGTGCGCTCAGTGTGCAGCCCGAAAGGGGGCCTGACCGGATGTGCTTCGTCGGAAAGTGGTTGTCTCCAGTATACTCCACTTGAAGCTGGATGCCTCCATTCCCCCCCCTCCCAGCTGACCTTCGGGCGTTGAGCTGGGCCGGGGGGGGGGGGTTGCTGCATGTGAAGCATGGCACAGTCCCGCTGACCTTCGGGCGTGGAGCGGTGCGTTTGGTGCCCGGTGTGGTGCAGACTAAAGAGGCGAAGGTCACTTTCTGCCATATGTGTGATCTAATTATACTGGCACAGTCCCGCTGACCTTCGGGCGTGGAGCGGAGCGTCTGGTGCCCATGAGCGTAAAGCCTCAGGCCTGTCTTCGAGCATGCCTAGCTTGAGTTTCTTGTGAGCGCCGGCCTGCAGCTGTGCCCCGCGTGGTAGTTCCTTTCTTGGTTCGCCATGAATTCTGCCATTGACAGCGAGGCGACCTTCACGGCCCGGGCCCTCGAGCTTGGCATGGAGAAGGGCTTCTTAGACTTGTTGATCAAGGCCAATGTGAAGTCCCTGGGTGCGCTGGCTTTCGTCAGCCCGTACCAGATCGGCCAAGCTGATGAGAAGCCCCTGATTGATGCTGTCCGGGATCTCATCCGGCGGGATGTCACTACGCGGGAGCTCATCCCGCTTCGACGCTTGTGGTTCGAGGCTAGCACAACCGTCATGGGTGAGCTCAAGCAAAAGGTTGAGCGTCAGGACTCGGCTGAGCCTATTCGCCTGACCATAGCCGAGAGGACCACGAGGCTGGAGGAGCAGAAGAAGCGTCTCGTGGGGGTTTGCATCACGAGTGAGTCCGAACCGTCTCATCGCCTCGTGGACCTTGTTTTCCAGCAGGGTGCTGATCAGCAACTTTCTTGGATCCCCTGGGAGCGTCTGACTAGCAGGGCTCATGAGGTTACCCACTCTCGCAGTGACCTCGGGCTTCAATTCGATGCTGCTGGAAATCTCCGCCTCGCCAAGAAGATGCAGGAGAGCTCCTGCACGCTTAGCGGGGAACTACAAATCCGCCAGGCCCTTCAGAGGCGCGCTCTGGCGTACGACCTCGCTCGTTTGTGTGATTTCTCGGCCATGGAGTTGTACCACGAGGAGCTCTTCTTCTTGCTGACTCGAAGCCCCCCGCAGGGCTGTCTCTACGTCACCATGGCCCAGGTCCGCGAGTCCGACAAACAGCTTTTCGTCCGGCTAGCTGAGAAGACTCGTGGTGCTTTGACTGCTCGCCCAGATGGCTCTAAGCCTTTGCAGGTGCAGCTCGAGGCCCTAAAGAGCCACCCCCAGGTCCAGTTCTGCCTCATCCCGGCTCCGAAATCGGCCCGCTTCCAGCCCTACGAGCCGCCTGAGGGTCGCTCCGACCGTGCCGCTGGTGGCAAGAAGGGGCAGCCTCCCAAGGGCAAGGGGGCCCAGACCTCGGGTGGGGGTGGCAAAGGTCCCTCCACCCCCTTCGAGCTGCCGCCGGGCTGTTCTTCTCAACATGAGGGCAAGCCTGTGTGCTTCGGGTTTAACTGCAAGGGCTGCAAGTTTGCTAAACCAGGCAAACGCTGCCGTCGAGGCCTGCACGTATGCTGGAAGTGTTTCGCGCCGCATTCCTACACTGCCTGCCCGCTGGCAAACTGACTAGCCCTCACGAGCTCGGATACTGGCACTTCGCTGACTTTGGCCCACCTTCTCCAGGTCTTCCACTCTTTGCCGGGTGAGGAGGCCCCTCGCAGCGGCTCCACCGATCAGAGCCGTGTTTTCCAGGCGGGGGCGTATGTGCATGGTGCGTTAACTGGTCTGCGTCGCTCGTGCTCCTTGTATCCAGAGGCAATTAGAACATTTTGCTCTTTTATTTGTGAAAAGACTCCTCCGGAGTTCGTGTTTAGCAACATTGCAATTTTCCAGAACCTGCGTACTGAGCTGCATCGGGATAAGAATAATTTAAGGGCTACTTTGAACTTCGCGGTGGCCATTTCGGCCTTCGAAGGGGGCCAAGTTTGGATTCAGGCTGATCCCGCATCCTCGAAGTCGGGCATTTTGCTCGATGTGACGGCCCAGGGCGTCTACTTCAACGCCCGTGAGCGCCTTCATTGCACATGTCCATGGACCGGCTCACGCGTGGTCGTCGTTGCCTTCAGCCTGCGTGGCTCCGATTGCCTGCCCAAAGCAGAAGCCTTGACCCTTAGTTCTTTGGGGTTTAGGGTCCCTTCCCCTGGCGTTGACAACAGTCACTTGGAGTCCTCTGGCCGCCCCTGCTCCGAGCCGCCAACTGAGGTGCCGCCTCCCTTTCGGTTTAGGCCCCCTCCCCCGGGTATAGTCCCCATGTGCACCCCCGCTGAGACCTCTTGGTCCGCGGGCTCCTCAGCAGCCACCCCCGCGCCCTCGAGCTCCTCCCCTCCGTGCACCCCCGCTGCGGCCTGCTTGCCCGCGGGCCCCGACCCGCCCGGCGTTGCCGCCTTCCCTCCGGAGCCGCCTGGGGGCAACTTGGCAGCTCCGACGTTTGTTGAGCTGTTTGCTGGTTGCGCTCGTTTCAGCTCTACTTTCGCAGCCGCTGGTGTGCCCGCGTTGGCGGTGGACGGCCCCCGAAATCAGCACAGGCCTTTGCATCCTGTCTGGACGCTCGACCTCACCGTGCCCCTTTGTCAGCGCCTTTTGCGTGAGCGCCTTCTCTCTGGGCGCCTTTTGGGCATTCACCTTGGCCTCCCGTGCGGAACTGGCAGCCGCGCTCGAGAGATCAAGCTCCCAGCTCATCTTTTGCGATCCGGCGCACCGCAGCCTCGCCCCTTGCGCGATGCTACATACTTGCTGGGCCTTCCCGGCCTTTCCTCTGCCGAGCAAGCCAAAGTTGACGCGGCAAATGAACTCTGCCGCTTCGTTGTTTCCCTGCTGCTGGACGCATATGCCAAAGGCTGGACCGTGACCATAGAGAATCCGGTGAACTCCTGGATGTGGAGTGTTCTCGCCTTGTTTGTTCGGCAGACCGGGAAGCGTGCTTTTCAGAGCTGGTATGCAAGCTTGTTCCATGTTGACTTTGACCAGTGTATGTGGGGTGGCCATCGAAAAAAGGCTTCTCGCTTTCTCACCTCCGCATCTGAACTGAGAGGGCTCGTGGCTCCCTGTGACGGTCGGCACACACATGCACCCTTTCAGATCTACCGCAAGGCGGGGGGCTGGCAGTTTGAGACCGCTCTGGAGGCCGAGTATCCCGCTGAGCTGTGCTTGCAGTATGTCTCTCTTCTTGGGGCCCGCCTGAGCCTGCCTGCACCAGCCCCCAGGCGGCCTCTACTCCGCCAACCCCGCCGCCGTCCTCCGCTGGTGCCCGAGTACAAGTTTTTCACTCATGTTCGCCCCCTTGAGGGTGAGTTTCGCGAGCTCTCTTCTGAGGGGGGAGGAGACGGGAGCCGCTCAACTTTTGCAGTCCTGCATACCAAGCAGGAGTTTATGGCCAAGGCCTGTCAGGTACCGCACCCCTTTGATGCATCTGACTCCATAGACGACCAGGTCAAGAGGAACATTTTTGAACTGTTCACTGGTGGCTTCATGCCTTCGGCCAGGAAGAGGCTGTCTATGCAGAAACGTCTGGCCGCCATGAAAAAGGAGCTGGCGGTGGAGGAGCGGCGCCACCAGGCTTCACTTCCTCCACATGCCCAGGCGGTCCTAAAGGGCAAGAACATCCTTCTTTGGCGCAAGCTGCTCGTGGAGACAGGCTTCCCCGACCTGGACGCCCAGGAGCTCATGGAGGGGGTCCCCTTGATAGGAAGGCCAGCGAAGTCGCCGCTCTACGACTGGAAAGAGATCCCCGCAACTTGCACTAGGGAGGACCTCCTCGCTTCCTCAGTTTGGCGGAACGAGATGCTTTCGGGAAAAGGGGCTGTGGGAGATGATGCTGATCTCCTGCACAAGGTCTGGCTGGCCACTGAGAAGGAGGTGGAGAAAGGCTACCTCATTGGCCCCTACGAGTCCCTCGAAGACGTCAAGGCAACCCTGGGCGCAGAAGAGGTTTGCTGCAGCAGGCGTTTTGGTGTTCGCCAGGGCTCCGGGGATTCTGAGAAATGCAGGCCCATAGATGACTACAAAGAGAGCGGGGTTAACACGGCCTACCATGCTGTGGACCTACTTCAGTTGCATGACGTCGACTACCTAGTCAACCTCTGCTGTTTCGTGGCGAACGCTGCTCATGACGACGGCTTCACCAGGGTAGGGCTGTCGGATGGCTCGACGCTCGTGGGGCGTACACATGGTGATCTTCTGGGGGGGGTCAAGTGGCTGGGGCGTTGCTTGGACCTGGAAAAGGCCTATAAGCAGATCCCGGTTATGGCCAAAGACCTCGTCTTCGCAGTCTTGATGGTTTGGGAACCTGGGTCGGGCTCGTGGAAATACTTCATCTCCAGGAGCCTCCCCTTCGGATGCTGCGCGGCGGTTTACGGTTTCAATAGGGTTTCTAGGTCGTTGCTGCACCTGGCCCTGCATCTCGCCGGCATGATCGGCGGGGTCTATTTTGACGACTTCCCTTTGCTTGAGCCGGCCCCCACTGCAAGGATGGGCTCCCTCGCCATCGAGTGCCTTCTGGACGCCCTGGGTTGGTCGTACGCAGTGGGTGATGACAAGGGCCGCCCCTTTGAAGAGACCTTTGACCTGCTTGGCAAGCGACTCAGTGTTGGGGAGCTTCTCGCTGGTCAGGTGGCCTTGGCAAACAAGCCTAGCCGCGTTGAGAAGATCCGAGCCCAGGCTTCAAGGATGGCATCCTCAGGCTGCGTCACTCGCAGGGAAGCAGCCTCCCTGCACGGCCAACTGAACTTCATGGTGGGCTTCGCGGCTGGACGAGCCATGAAGATAGCCTGCAGGGCCCTGGCCAACATCTGCTACATGAACCGCTCTCCCTCCGTGGAAGAGGTGAAATCGCTGGGGCGCTTCATCCTGAAGACACTCTCTGATGCACGTCCGAGGACCTTCTCACTCCGGGCGCAGGGGAGCCCGGTCTCCATCTTCACTGACGCGTCCTACGAGAAAGGCGTCGCCCGCTGGGGGATAGTTCTGCTGGACCAGAGCTCCAATAGAAGAGGGGTGGCAGCGGGCGAGATCCCGCCCAAGCTTGTGGACTTCTGGCTGGCAGAGGGCATCGAGCAGGTCATCTCTCAGGCGGAGGCCTACGCGCTGGTTCTCTCGAGGCGGGCCTGCGCCTCGGAACTGGCCGGGAAGAGGTGCATCTTTTACGTGGACAATGACGCCGCCAGGTACACTTGCATTAAGGCCAGCAGCTCCTCTCGTTCTCTACTGAACTTGGCATGCCTCTTCTACGCCAGCGAGTCGGCTGACGGCATCGTGTCTTGGATTGAGCGCGTTCCTTCTGCAAGCAACGTGGCCGACCTCCCTAGCAGGGGGGAAGCTGCGTTGGCAGCGCAGATGATTGGAGGTCAGGTCGTCGACTTCTCTCAGGCTGCGCAGCTTCTAGCAGGTGAGTGCATGGACCTGAGCGACCTTCCCTGGGACCTCCTCTCGTCCTCGAGCGGAAACCTTTGGACACTGCCTTTCCTTTGAGCCCGGACGTTTGAGGGGGGAGATGACGGGTCCGTTGAGGGCAGTGAGTACAATCTCCGTATGGTCCCTGGACTCTTTGGCAGGGTCCGTCGAAGGGCAGGGAGCTTTATGTCCCATGAGCCCTTGTGCCCAGCCTTACCTTTTGAAAGTTCCCCTGATCCGAGGCAACTCGCAGTGACGCAAAAGGATTGGAATCTGAGCGTGTTGGGAAGGGTTCGCAATTTTTACATACTGTCTATTCTTTATGAACCTCTTCCTTTATACATTCAGATGTCGACAGTTTTGTAAATCCTAAAGACTACGCGCTCCGCTTGCGGATAGAGTGGTCTTTGATTTATAGGTGCCCCTTCCCCCTTTGAAGAAGGGGCAACGCAAAACTGTCTTTAAAGTTTCTGAGTTTTCTACCACGTGTGTTTGCAGATCTTGCATGGGCATGATTTATGCAGACGTTTTTCATGTGGTTTTTTTCGGGGCTTCGCAGTAGGCACAGCTGCTTGAATTCTTCTCTTGTGCAAAATGCAAAGTGCTTGTGCCGCGCTCAGCCCTGCTCAAACAGAGGTTCGTGGTCGTTTGCATACATGGCACATGTGCTTCATTATCACATTTGCAGGCCGTTCTTTAGCGAACTCTTGAGCACATTTGTCAATTTTTCCCACCCACCCACCCGGGGGGAGATGACGGGTCCGTTGAGGGCAGTGAGTACAATCTCCGTATGGTCCCTGGACTCTTTGGCAGGGTCCGTCGAAGGGCAGGGAGCTTTATGTCCCATGAGCCCTTGTGCCCAGCCTTACCTTTTGAAAGTTCCCCTGATCCGAGGCAACTCGCAGTGACGCAAAAGGATTGGAATCTGAGCGTGTTGGGAAGGGTTCGCAATTTTTACATACTGTCTATTCTTTATGAACCTCTTCCTTTATACATTCAGATGTCGACAGTTTTGTAAATCCTAAAGACAGCAGAGAGCAGAGAGCAGAGAGCAGAGAGCAGAGAGCAGAGAGCAGAGAGCAGAGAGCAGAGAGCAGAGAGCAGAGAGCAGAGAGCAGAGAGCAGAGAGCAGAGAGCAGAGAGCAGAGAGCAGAGAGCAGAGAGCAGAGAGCAGAGAGAGAGCAGAGAGCAGAGAGCAGAGAGCAGAGAGCAGAGCAGAGAGAGAGCAGAGAGCAGAGAGCAGAGAGCAGAGAGCAGAGAGCAGAGAGCAGAGAGCAGAGAGCAGAGAGCAGAGAGCAGAGAGCAGAGAGCAGAGAGCAGAGAGCAGAGAGCAGAGAGCAGAGAGCAGAGAGCAGAGAGCAGAGAGCAGAGAGCAGAGAGCAGAGAGCAGAGAGCAGAGAGCAGAGAGCAGAGAGCAGAGAGCAGAGAGCAGAGAGCAGAGAGCAGAGAGCAGAGAGCAGAGAGCAGAGAGCAGAGAGCAGAGCACGAGCACAGAGAGCAGAGCACAGAGAGCAGAGCACAGAGAGCAGAGCACAGAGAGCAGAGCACAGAGAGCAGAGAGCAGAGCAGAGAGCAGAGCAGAGAGCAGAGAGCAGAGAAGCAAACTTTCAGCTTCGCTGACAGTTCTCTCGATTGGGGAGGTAGGCCGCTTGCGGCCGGGTTTAGAGAAACAAGAGTTTTGGGCAGAACTCAGTTAGCTGTACGTTGCTCCACCATTGAAAAATCGGTGCTTTTGTTTTTAAGATACTCTGTATGGGTTTGAGTTTGAGGGAGACATGCTTCAGCCATGCACTTGATTTTTAAAGATGTGGGCAAAAGTTTCCTCCATGTGACGTTTTGTGTGCTTTCACGATCTGGCTTGCTTGTTGTCGCGCAAGTGGCTCATGCTGAGAGCGACAATCATGGGAGGAGATTTTTGAAGGCTGGAGTCCGCTTGAACTTCCAAGAGGCTCACGGGTCCCGAACCTGACGACGCATCTAGCACTGGTCCGTCTTGCATGGAGTTCGAGGATTCTCTTTCTGGATCGTCTTCCGAAGACTCGTACCTGGAGTTTCCTCGTCTTCCCCCCTTGGAAGTGGTGCGCATTCGACCTCGTGCCTTTTACACGGATCTCCTGGCTCGTCGCATAGCTCAGATCTCCAGTTTGTGGACTTTCATTGCTGATCCTGACCTTCGTGGTACATTGATCAGCGAGCGGGAGGGCGCTCGCATTTTGGCCTTGCTGCCTCTGCGTGCGTGGTATCGCTTGACAGCCGCTTGCCGATGGTCCCACGCTTGCGTCCGCTTCCTGCTGACGCTTCGCGACTAGAGGCGGCCGCCCCTTCGACCTTGCCTCCAGTCCCCTGCGCTCCTCCCACAGGGACTTCTGAAGGGGGCCGTGACGGCCCTTCGGGAGAAGCCGCAGACTTCCAGGACGTTGCTGGCAGCCATTTGGGGGAAGCCCCTGACGCCTTGGAGTTTGCTTGCAGGGAAGCTGATGAAATTTTGAATGCTGTGTTTGAAAACGGTGGCGAGGGTCTCTTTGACCAACAAGAAGCTGGAGAATTGGCTGGTGGCCTTACGCCAGAAGCTGATGGATCGGATGTCAGGGGCTCTTTTTCTGAAGTTGATTTTCATGAGGATGAGTGGTATTCCGAATGCAGAGATGACAGCCCAGGTGCGGATTTGGAGCAGTCGGTGCGTGCTCACTCAGTCGGGGAGACAGACGATGAGGGCGGTTTGAGTGATGCTCTTGTGCTAGATGACGAAGGGCAAGCTCGAGCCGACAATTTTGTGCATCGGGAAGCGATAAGCTCTCTTGCTGCAGCCCAGAAGCGAAGCGTCCCTCTTCAAGCTTGGGAAAAACCCTCTTTCTTGACACAGGTGTGGAACCGAAAGGACTTCGCCAGTATCAATGTCTTCGGTGCCAAAGACTGTCTGGAGGGTCCCGTTGTCAAGAAGCCCGACACCGAGACCAGGATCGCGCCTGGAACAATTCGCTACATGAAGAATGAAGAGGATCCCTGTGAAGAAGTCTTCTGTGGACATGCGTAACGTCGCTCTCAAACGACTGAGAAACATGCTTGTCTATGATGTGGAGTGCTCCGAGCTTGGTATGGCGCTGGCCTCGGACTTTGAGTCGAACCTGGATGATGCAGCCGCAAGCAGATCTCTCAGTGACTCTTTCGCTTCGAAGGCAACAGGAACTTTGAGGAAGCGCAGTGGCTCGCTGTTCAGGTACTTCACATGGGCGCTTCGGAATGGAATCCAGTCTCCTTTTGCAGCCTCTGAGACCGACATATACGCATATGTGTCCATGCTCAGGGACTCGGCGAGCAGTGCAACTAGTGCTTCGCATTTCCTCGAGGCGCTGAACTTTCTGCACAGTGTCGTCAAGTTGAAGCACATGATTCCTTCGGAGGTCATCTCAGCGAGGATCTCCGGTGTCTCCAAGACCATGTACGAGACTAAAGAGCCACTGAAGCAAAAGCCCCAACTCACTGCGAATGCCGTCAGAGCATTAGAACGTCTTCACATGAAGCTGGAAAGCCGGGAGCAAGCCATCTGTGGACAGCTGCTTTTCTGCATCCATAGCAGTGCTCGGTGGAGCGATGGGCAAAGGGTTTGCAAAATCGAGCTGCAAGTCGACGATCGACAGGATTTGTTGGTTGCCGAAGCCATCACTTCAAAGTCTACGCTGACAAAGGAGTCACGAACTCGTCTGCTGCCCTACGTCGCTTTGGGAAAAGGTTTGACTGGAGAGCGATGGGGAAACGAATGGCTGAATGCTAGAGTGGCGGAAGGTTTGGACGAATGCGATGGACAATTCATGCTACCTAGCTGGTCCTTCAGGACAGACTCCTGGGGCGACGTGGAGATGAGTGCAGCTGAGGCATCGTTCTTCTTGCAAGATTTCTTGATCCGAGGAGGCATACCTGAGGGGGAGGCCCTGATTAGCCTCTCACAGCATGAAGACACTCTCACGACTTGGTGCTCGCGAAGTTCGGTGGTCGTGTTCAAGCCAATGGAACAGCGCCTAGTGGGGCATCACTTCAAGCCCAAGGACAAGTCACCCTTGACTTATTCGCGACAAGCCTATACGAAGCTTTACGGCAAAATCATGGCTCTCTTTTCTTTTCCACGATCGAAGAGGGAACCTTTGACACTGATCTCTCGGAAGTTGGACGAGTGGTGTCTGCTGCAGATGACTTTCGAAAGGAGGGGCGCCAACTCGACCCGCCGGCTGTGGAGCAGCAGCGGGATGATCAGGCGTCTCTCAGTGATACAGAAAACGCAAGCAGTTCGTCAGCATCGGAGAATCTTGCAGATGCCATGCCCAACGCTGGCGTGAGGCAGCCCTTTGGCGACGATGTGGATGCAGAGGAGATTTGGGTGCATCTTGAATCGGGCATTTCCCATGTGCTTAGAGGAGCGGAGAGCTACTTCATTTGTGGAGTCGCTAACAGTTCCAAGCACGTGCAGCTCAGGCTCAGTGGGGATCTTTCAGCAGATTCCGAGCCATGTCTTAGGTGCACCAAGGTTTTGCGTGGTAGGGCCCCTTTTTAAGCTTTGATTGATACTGCCGGCTTGCGGCTCAAACATGCAAAGAGCGGTCATGTACGCAAACTTGAGCGTGCAATGCTTGACGGTTTGGAGTGCTCGCAATCTCTAGCGCAGCATGTCTCATGTTTGCCATGTTCGATGTTTTTCCGGAGGCTCAGCGTTGAGTGGTACGACAGAATCATTACTGTCGAAACACGCCACAATCCCCCATCAGGCAGATTCTTACTGCTCTGAAATCATTGTGAACTGCACTCCTGAGCAGATGCCTTTCTCTACTCTAACGAGAATTTTGCTGAGCTAGGAGGGGTGAGTTTCTTCCACGCCATGGCAGGAGTAACTCTTGACTCCACTGCCGCATTCCGTGAGCGGTGCAAGAGAGTGGGGCTTTCAGCTCGAAATATCACTGCACTGAAGGATGCGGGTTACACCACCTTCGGTCACATTGCCTTTGCTGTAAACTCATCCCCTGGCAGCCTTGAGAGTCGCAAGTGCAAACATGGATCAGCAAAGTATTCCCCCCTGGGATTGATGATCAGCAAGTCGCATGCATGAGACGGCTCCTGTTTGAAGGTCAGGCCTTAAGCATCGAGGACATGAAGATGCGCCTCGAGCCTAAGCCCGATGGCCTCATCAAGAAAATGCCCATGGCCGAACGGGCTGCCCGCCAGGCCGACCTGGAGGCTCGATTGGGAAGGCTAGTCTTTGCTCCCGAAACCTTGCCCTCCAATGATGTTGTTGACCAACTTGTTGACATGCTTGAGATGGGTGCTTTGACCTACCTGCCCCCTTACAAGTACACTTCTCGTGCTCAAGAAATCCGCATGGTGAAGCGTGAGAAAACGCTCACTCTTGACTCAGACGGTCAGCTTAAGATTGCACAGAAGCGACAGCGGTTCGTGTGATACCTCCAGCGACATGGCGCTGCGCCAAGCATGGTCTAGGAGGAGTCTGGCCTTGGAGCTGCCAATCTGGCTTCTCATTCCGTGCTTGAAAAGTGGGTTCACAAGCTTTTCGTTACGATGCAGAGACCGGTGCCTTCCGGTCACAAACCCATCAGCTTGAGTCAGGTGGTTGCAGCCGATAGGCAGTTGTTCACTTTGGCGGCCCATGCACTTACTAAGGGTCTCACTAGTGCAGCGGGCCAACCCCGGCCTTTGGACACGCAGATCCAATCGCTTTCCGATTCCACCGAAGTCTTGCAATTCCTGCACGCTCTTCCCGCGCCTTCGGGTCCTGCTCTGCCCGCCAAAAGATCCGCAGATGATCCTCCTGCCGGGCGTCCCCCAAAAGGCAAAGGCGGCAGAGGTGGTTCAGGTAAAGGCCAAGGGAAGGGTTCCCCCCCTCAGGTGCCTGAGGGTTGTGTCAGCAAGTTGTCCGATGGCAGGCATTTGTGTTGCGCTTTCAACCACGGGGTTTGCAAGTTCAAGGTGAGCAAAAAGGGCAGGTGTGGACGAGGCTTCCACTTGTGTTGGCGCATCGGCTGCCATGGTGAGCATGCAGGCCATACATGCCCCAAAGCCTGACAAGGCCCCGGGGGGGCGCCGCCCCAGCCTCTCGGGGATCCTCTCGCGCCTGGTCCTCAGGCCAATGCCCGGGGCGACGATCCTTCTGCGGGTGCCCAAGCCTCACATCCCGCTGAAGTGTTGGCACGCACATTTTTAAAGAATTCATCCATCAGTGAACAAGAAATTCTTCGTTTGGTCGAGCAGATGCCCCTGAGCAAATCTCGGCGTGACTCTTTTAATGACAAGTCTTTCGGAGTTGGCATGTGGGTCCACGGCCCTATGGTCGGCGTTCGGCGGCTGACCCACCTTTTCCCTTCCATGGCCCGTTGCTTGTGTCGCTTCGTGCGTGAGCGGTGCCCCGCTCATACATTCACCACAATCCTCGTTTCATCCGATTCTCAATCCGATCTCCATGTGGATACACACAATGACAAGTCCTCGGTCAATGTTGTGTTCGCCTTAACCAAATTCAAGGGAGGCCAGATCTTCCTGGAGGATGCCACTGGCCAGGCGGTCTACTCGCATGCTTCTGGGCGAGTTCGCGGCCGCCTGCTTGATGTTGCGTCCCACTTTCAGCAATTTCCCGCTTGCACGGTGAGACATGCAGTTCTGCCTTGGTCTGGTCACCGATGTGTCTTGATTGCGTTCTCTGTCAGGGACAGCAAATCGTTGGGCGCCGATTTCACTAACTTCCTTTTGGACTTAGGCTTTCGGTTACCCTATCCCCCTAACGCTGTCCAAGAGCCCCCTGCTGCTCGCTCGGTCCTTTACGAGCTCTTCGCGGGATCCGCTTCGCTGTCCCGTGCCTGCATCGACAGCGGTTTCTCGGTCATTGCTGTGGATCACCAGCCGCGGTGTCCTCTTGCTCCGGTGGTCCGCTTCGATCTTTCCAGTGACCTTGGCCAGCAACTCTTGTGGCAGCAGTTTGAAGCCGTCCCGCCTCTCGCAGCGGCCAGCATCCTTTTGGTTTCCCCGACTTTCCCTACACGCCCCTCGAGCGTGTCAAGCTTGACAAGGCAAATTGTCTCTTTAAGCTGGTTTATCGGGTTTTGCGCTGGGCTCTCAAACACAATGTTTTCCTGAGCATTGAGAACCCAACCAATAGCTGGTTCTGGAGCGTGCTTGCTGCTCTGGCAAGAGAAGACCCCGACCGCACGGTCGCCGAGGCGTGGCCTGGTTTGCATTCCGTGGTATTCGACACTTGCATGCATGGCAGTGCTCGACGCAAGTCCACAAAGCTTCTCACCAACTGTGCCGCTTTGGTGCCCTTGGCCGCCGTCTGCGACGGCGGCCATGCCTCCTGGGGTCTTGCTAGGAGTTCTAAGGGTTGGGTTTATTCAACGCATCTTGAGGCCACTTATCCCACCGTCCTGTGCGTTCGGTGGGCCAAGCTTCTTCTTGCTGAGTTCGGCCCCAAACTTCCTCTGGCTCCGCCAAGTCTTCGGTTGAAAGCTTTGCAGGCTCTTGGGCGACAATTTCGTAAGCAGCCTCCCTTGATATCCGAATTCCGAGCCGTGCAGCTCCTTCCTCGGGACGCTGTCCCTCCAGAAGCCAAAATACTCTCACCCAGCCTCATGAAAGGGGTCCCTCCGAAGGCTGTGCGTGAGTGGCTCTCCAACCCCGAAGCCGACCTCGAGGCTGAGTTGCTGACGGGGAAGGAAAAGGATCCTGAGGAGGATGCATCCGGCTGCCTTTCCCCTGAAACTAGTGGTTGCGGCGCAAACCAGAGAGCGCTAAGCAGGGTGAAGTAGGGCCTGGCGTGGTCTCAGTTGGCTTCTTTCGCTCCCCTGCAGAGTGGATGGAAGAGGCCGGCAAGTTGAGCCATCCTGTGGACAACGGGAACCTTCTGCCCGATCTTGTGGAGCAAGCGATTAAGGCCAACGTATGCGATGACCCTAAGTCCCTCACCCTAAGGCGTAAGCTCTCTCTGATGAAGCTTAAGATCCTTGTTGCCCAGTGTGCCAAAGATGAAAGTTTGCTCAAGCAGGCAATGCCCCCGTGGCGCCGGCAGGTCATGCAGTGCAAAAACATTTTGGCTTGGGAGAAGTTTTTGGGTCAGTTTGACTATGACGATATGGGGGTAGTCAACATCCTGAAAAATGGCGTGGATCTGGTAGGGATCTCTGAGTGTCCCCCTTGCTACGACCTCAAGCTGAAGCGCGCGACTTGCTTGGAGTCAGAAGTTAGGGATTCCGCCCTCCTGCGCCAGGCATTGCTTGCGTCACCCCGAGAGATGGAAGCTGCTATGTTGCAATCCTTGCTTGAAGAGACGCAGGCAGAGGCAAAGGCTGGATACCTAGAAGGACCGTTTGCTACCGAATCGGAGGTGAGCCAGGCCTTAGGCACTTCTGAATGGGGGGTGATCAGGCGGTTTGTCATTCGCCAAGGAGAAAAGATGAGGCCGATTGACGATGCTTCCGAAGCTTCTCTGAATGCAGCCTACACGCAAACAATAGGGTTGCAGCTCCAGGACGCGGAGTTCTTGGGTGCAATGTGCGTTCGCATCATGCAGCTTTCTCGAGAGGCAAGGCCCGGCAGTCCCAAACACGATTGGGTCGGAAAGTGCTTACTGTAAGCGACAAGGACAGAGATTTAGCGGTGCTTGCGATTCAGCGCGAAGGAGGTGGCTGGACCTTCTTTGTCTGCAACTCGTTGCTTTTCGGGTCAGCCGCTGCAGTTTATGCCTTTCAGCGGGTGAGTAGAAGCATCCACTTTCTGTTGGCGAAAGCATTGGCCATTCCTTGCAGCTACTTCTACGACGACTATCCAATGCTTTGCCCTTCATCGTCGGCGCAGGAAGTGGACGCCTGCGCTAGCGAGATGCTGACGCTTCTAGGTTGGCATCATGCCAAAACAGGCGAGAGCGCGAAAGGACTGCCCTTTGCGAGCACTTTCGAGGTTTTAGGCATGAAGGTCGACTTGGGCAGCCTGAGTGAGGCAAGGCTTGTCATGACTAATAAGCCGGGAAGAGTTGAAAAGCTGGCAACCCGCTTTCAAGAGGCGCGGGATCAAGGCTACGCGAGCAGACATGAGTGCCAGGTGTTGTTGGGTTTGCTGCGGTTCGCTTCGGGTTACTTTGGGAGCCGCGCTTTGAAGTATGTTTGCAACGATCTGAATGGCATTGCCAACCGTGGCGAAGCTGTCACGCAAACTGCTTTCAGAAAGTTGTGCACACGTGCGTTGCAGGCTTTGAACTCCGCACCACCTCGTGTCATCACGCTGCATGACGACAATGCACTGGTGCACATCTACACAGATGGGTGTTGGGAAAACCAGTTCGGCGGTGTGGGCGCAGTCCTTTACGACCCCTTGAACTCCTGGGGGGAGGTGCTGCAAGGAGAAGTGCCCAAACCACTGCTTGAGAAGTGGCAGCTACACATCGAGATGTTCGCCGTATGTGCAATAAGGCAGAAGTTCAAGGACGTGATTGCAGGGCGGAGAGTGTTGATTTGGGTAGACAATGAGGGCGCCCGACTGTCTCTGATAAAAGGTTCTAGCAGGTCGGATGCCCTTGATGCAATGATCCGAATATTCGCCGAGGTCGAGGACACGCACCCGGCTTATGTTTGGTTGTGCCGTGTCCCCTCCAAATCAAACCCAGCAGATGCACCATCGAAGCCCCCGGCTCAAGTCGTTTTCGTGTGCTCGTCTTAGGGGGTGAACGTGACTCGAGGCCCCCAACAGGTTCTTCTTTCAACCGTGGCCCATCGACGTTTCCAGCAGATACTGAGCCATGGTTTCTTTCATACATGCTGGCATGCTTTGGATGGCTTTGCAGATTTTCATGTGGATTTCATGCAGTGGTGCAGTGCGACGTTGCATGTCTGTTGAAGGATCGAGAGATGCAAGGTCTTCTACTGATGAGCAGAGGGCCCAGCCTCAGCTTTACGAGGTCGCAACGGACCCCATCAACACCACTAGATGCCCCTTGTGGAGAACGCCAGAAGGTCTTCGTTATACACAACCGCCACATTCTGCACCCTACGCGTATGAGGAACAGCGGGCTCCGCTTCCCCCTCCATTGCAGTCATGGGAACGTCTGGTCAGTGTGCTTCTGTCAGGTTCAGTTGAGTGTTCAGGACGGCAAGACAACCCCACAAGCTCATTGAATGCAGCAACCGACAATCTGCCTTCAGGATCGGCGGAGAATCACAGACCGCTCAGGCCGGTCGACGTCTACCGGGACCCAGGCAGACATGAACCAGATGGGGAGCTGCCCGCGTTGAAGCGTAGGCTCGCTGCTTGTGCACACAGTCTGACTAGAGTGCTCACCAAGGACAGCCAATACATAGTGGTAATGCAAGAGACATCTGAACAGGCAGAAATCCAACGACGTCGAGATGTGACTTCACCAGCTGTAACTGAGGACCGTAGTAGCCAGCGCAACGCTTGTCAGACACTCAGGCAACTGTCAAACATCATGCTGCAAAATTGCTCGCAGGCGGTTGATGCAGCAAGAGAAATTTACTGCCACCAATCCAGTCCTCGAGAATTGATGTGGCATTGCAGCAACAGCTTCGCTGCATATGCATTACCGGGAGTTTCCTGGCCCCAGCGCGTGAGCACGTGGAAGGCCAGATCATGCAGGCGGGAGCACACATTGAGCTGCATGCTTGACACTGGTAATTTAACGAGCACTGCTAGAGAACAGAATCCGCTTGCCCGAATTGCAACCTTGATGGCAGTAACTTCCTTTCAGACAGTTGCTCCAAGGCCAGCAACTGCAAAGTCCTCAGTCAGACTTGAACCCGCAAGTATGACAGGGCCTGCGCCAAAGGAGCTGACACGGTGCAGCACCCAGGCACCAGCTGCTTTCGCTCCTGCTTTTCACTCACGAGGGCAAGTGGTTTCCACTCCCAAACAGGTCAGGCACAGTGGGTCATCTAGCTGGTCACAAATAGTAATGCAGACCATTCAGGAAGGGCTACGCAGATGGAAGCCCCTGACTAGCTCACATGCTGACATGTTATTCACTGCCTTGATGTGGCCTAGATTCAATTCCATCACTCGACACACTGAGGTCAGGGCCACGGCCAACTGCCTACCGAGCGGCATCTCGCGGTCGAAGAAGGCGGATCATGGCTGCGAACATACCGAGTTGCAAACTGAAGACCACACGGCAAGACGTGACTGTTCTGTTCATTTAACATGCGCAATGCATTGGCTCTGCACTCACTTCACAGGGATTGCGGACTCCGCGCCCTTTCGTAGACGGAGCACTCTTGGTCAGGGAAGCTTCTCAAGACTCATAATGTCGGAGGCACCATGTACACCATGCGTGACCTGTGGATGGCGCCCCTGCAGATGCACGTCGTTGGAGGGGGCCCTGCACAGCAGGCTACCTGGCGAATCCCACGAAAGGCAGACATCTGGAGGTTCTGGCGACTCCACTGCCAGCATGATGTGCATTTACTGTCTTGAGCAGCCGTGCGTCTGCATGCAAACAGCTGCAGTTCCGATTGTCGTGCCGAAGTCTACTCACACGGAGGGCGATGATGACACAGCACACTTCCTGGAAGAGCCCATAGAAGTGGTGAATGCACAGGAAAGTGAAAGGGAAGGCGGACTCCGCACCCAAGATCACCAACCAGTGGAACATGATGCTTCTACCAAAAAGGTAAACACTACGTGGCTTCGCTTCCTTGACGTTGCACAGAATGATCAAGAAGCATCTCTCCTACGGGCCCTTCCTGAACCATCGCTGGAAGTAAGTGACCTTGCGCGAGCGAGCTTCTTCCTTGAGCAGATACGCCAGCTCCCGGACCCCTTGAAATCAAGGCTTGTGAACAAGATAGAGGAGCAGCATTCGGATCTCCTACGAGAGCCTCGGGGTGTAGATCTGGTCGCACGCTTTGAGGCGCAGCGATTGGAGACGGCGACTATCGGGACAACGGCAGGACACGAGATGCCGATGCCGACAACACCAGTGACAGGACCGGAGGGGAATGCGGCCTCCGCCCCTTTCATCACGGAAACAATAGACCTCGACGAGTTCTTAGCAGGTTTTGCTGGAGCTTCTGAGACTGAAGACAATAGTGCAAATCTGCAAGACATAGGCGGGCCTTTGGCAGACAGTGGAGAGGCCTCTGGACAAATTGCGTCCACGCCGGATGTACAAAGTGAGGAATCTGATGGAGATGGGCCAAGGTGCTCCAACCGGCCGCCCACTCGAGCATATGAGAGTGCATGCGAGCGTACAGTCCTGATGTGCACGGCAGACAAGAGTGCTAGGGCATGCAACACGGGTGCTTATCGGGCTGCACGATATTCTGCGCAGGACACCCACTCGCAACACGAGCAGCGCGTTGCAACTGGGAAGGTGGACTCCACACCCAGCCGGACACTCAAACGCGAAGAGAGTTACCCAGTTTATACGATTCATAACAAACTCAATGCATGCGCCGACCGCCAACAGATCGATGCTGTGAATAAACAAGAACTATTATCTGATTACAATAGAGCATGCGTGAGTGCCTCTAAGATCGGATTGTTCACAAAAGATCACAGCTGTGCATGTGATTGTGCTACAACGATATGGTATGCCATTAAAACATACACAACCCCACAGCCCATCAGAATGCACGCACGACCTCCACCTGCCCAGGCTGACACATCCACGAGACGGCGCAACGATCCCATCGAAACTGGGAACGTGGTCTCCACACCCAGCAGGGCACTCAATTGCCTTGCGAAGCTGCTGGTTTGCATCCTTACGTACACACATGCAGAACAAGAGCTCAGCCATCGACTCGGAGCACACTTTGGCTCATGCCCATTCCTCCCCCCCACCATAAGACCAGCCCTGACGGAAGCACATGCTCCTCGCCCTCCACTTCTTACACCTGACCTCGGCCTCCGTAATTACACTGAAGATTATGTGCAAGAGACTGAACTTGAGATAGGTCAGGACACCCACAGCGTCGCCTTGAACTCTAATCACATAACTACACGGTTCCAGGGACCAGCACCGGGGATACTAGCTTTAACTCCTGCCAATGCGCCTGCCTGCAACATGGGGCCCAGTCCGAGCTCAAAGAAGAAGTCATCTCGGCGTTTACCCACAAGACTACGCCAGTCGGGCGCTGCGCCCACAGGCAAACTACTTGCCCTCAGACAGGCCGCGGTGGCAAAGGCGCAGAAGAGGCAAAGGAGTACAGCGGACTCCGCACTCCACGAAGCTACGCATCAAGACGAACCTGGAGAAGAGCCATCAAGTAGTAGCAGAGTGCGCTTCCACCCGAAGAGACGTAAGAAGGCCAGCTCGGAAGACATGGTGGAGATGGACTACATCATAGAACTCTCTGAACCAGAAGAGGACACGGAGCAGGACACGGTGCCCATACCAGCGCACAATCGCAACCTGACAGCGGTCTCCGCTCAGGCAGCAAGCAGCCGTCGACACCGAGAAGATCCGCCACAGCCCGCCTCGGGCGAACGCCCAACCGCGAGCAAGCGGGGGGAACCGCCTAGACCACCGCTGGCGCGACGAAGAAAGACGGCCATATCGAAAGCACTCACGGACGTCCTGAGACACTCTGGCGCAAGGCATGGATTGGAGGTGAGAGCAGATGCACTCTTTGACCTCCGTGCCGTTCTGGACACGCACAAGCTTAAGGCGCTACATGCACAGGAACACGAAATCCTGCAAGTGGTCGAGGAGAGCGACAAGAAGAGATTTGAAGTGGTCCGGCGGGAAGGGGCAAAGTGGATCAGAGCGGCACAGGGCCACTCCATGGAAGGCATAGACAACTCCACCTTCCAAGTGCGAGTGCCCAGACGCCTGCTGCCACAGGAGCTGTATCACGGCACATACGATGATGCCTACAGCCAGATAGTCCAAAGTGGACTGTTGGCGGGTGGTCCGAGCCGCAAGCGAAATGACATACACCTCACGGAGGGGCTGCCGACTGATCGTCCTATCTCAGGAATGAGAAATACATGCAACATTGCACTCGCGATTTTACCGAAGGAGGCTGCGGCGGAGGGGTGCACGTTCTACAAGAGCGGCAACCAGGTCTATCTCACAAAGGGTATCGGCACACAAAAGGTCCTCCCAGCTCGTTTCATCCACGCCGTGATTATCCTGAAGAGCGGAGAGAGAATCTTGTCAAGAACCGCAGATGGGCCACCGAGCCTCAGGGATGTGCACGCGGGCCTATTGAGGGCCAACGACGGCATGCGGGCTCCGCGCCGGAAAACCAAAGCAAGAGCTCTTTGCGCAGGGCGTGTCAGTAGGCATTCCTATAAGCTTGGATATATGATGCGCAGCCAAGCCACACTGCATACCCTACGCCCTAAACATGACTACTATGCATGTATGCTTTCCGCTGCCCAGGCCAACCGAGCAAAGATCAATGCCGGGAGCCTGATTCCACGGCACACTGCAACTGAGCCACGCTGCATCCCAGTGCACAGCGTTCATCTAAGCAAGTGGATGAGCCCGGCTAAGCTCTTATGCAAGGCCGCAATGCCTGAGACCACGACCAGTCTCCTCCTCTCGATGGTCGGGATCTCTGTCAGGGTCAGACGCAGTGCATGCCAGGAGAAATTGATGCATATACATAAAGCTAACATTCCTGAAGGACCGCAGGACATAACATGGACCAAGCAAATACAGTACCTGAGTCGCCATCACTGCTGTATCATACAAACCATGATAACTTCTCCTGAGACTGCCCCTGTCAGCCAGAGACAATCCACTTACCCCTACCGGCCCCACCCGACACATGAATGGACCTTACTTATAAATACCTCGATCCAAACTGCAATGCCGTCACCAAGCTCGCAGAAAAGATCAGCACGACGACTCCCAAGCCGGCTCCGAGAGACAGGTGCGGAACCTACGGGACACCTACAAACCTTGCGTGAGGAAGCAGTAGAACGAGCCAGAAGTCGACAAGCACAACAACAGGACGGAGGAGACGAAAGTGACTGGTGGCATACCTGGAGTTGGTGGTCTCCACACTCTCAGGAATGGCAATGGCAGACCTCGGACGGTACCAGGGCAACAGATGGAGACGCACAGGGATGGGGGGTGAACGTCATGAATACGCAGGCCGCAACAAGACGAACACAGTCCATGGAGGGACTACTCAACGAGCTGGCTACCGGCGTTGCGGCAAGTTCGAGAAGGAAAGAGGCCAAGCGGTCCACACCCACGACAACGACGAGTGAGACCTCCAGGCTGGATCTACGGGAGACGACGCACCAGGAGGCTGAGCACCCAAGCTCTTCTTTCCAGACTGGAAGTGACAGTGCCTCCTCCAATGCTCCTGTTGGGGGGGTGCACTACCCTGCCTCCGGTAAGGTTAGTGGTCTCCACACCTCACCTGCGAGCACTTCAACATGCGGGTTGACACTCACTACCATCCAGAAGATCGAAGAACCTCCACTTGATCATGATTCTCCCGATGCAGGGCCGATGAAGGCTCCAGCTGCCTCGAGCCGATGTTCCGATGAGCAGGAGACCAGACAACGGTCATCTGCTGCTAGGAGATCCAGCACCATAGAGCCACGGCCCGAGGAAAGAACACGATCGTCTGCAGCCCGGAGGGCCAGTACCATTGAGCCACGGCCCCATCTACTCCTGGTACAAGCGCCACTAGAGGTGAGAGAAGTCAAGCACCGTCTACTTAGGGAAGCGAAATCGGCAGTGCTCAGGCTGATTCCGCATGGAGACGACCTTCATACTTTCCTCAACGGCTACTTCAGGCGGCACCATGCAACGTACCACGCCAACCCGGTGAACATGCCCTCGTGTGGGAACTGGATATGGTCGCTTACTGCAGCATTGATGACAAGGCCGGAATACCACCCCAACGTCTGGAGGCGTAGCCACGCGGGAAAACTGGGCGACGCGGTAGAGGGATATCTGTACACGTTATACCAGAGCCAGACGGCGGGGAACCTTGCCCTGCTGGCCACCTATGGGGAGGCTGCAAAGTACCTCCACGACCTGATGCAAGGAATCCCGCACGCCATCTACTACCGCCTGAGCTGGAGGCAGTCACTTGACTCGCTCACGGAGATTCTCGAACCATGGATAGGAGCAGCGTCTACACAGGACATGCGGTCCTCGCACCCCGTCTTGACACTGGCGATACTCGACCGCAACGAATCCACAGCCGTGACAGTTGAGGCGGAAAACACAGGGCTGGACAAGCAGCAGACAATGAACAGGAGGGAGGAGAGACATGGACCTCATGGAAAAGATGGGAGTGGAGAAACACTCCCCATCGACCACATAGAGGGGGCAAGCCCTTCTAACTCTGGTGAAGCTGGTGGTCTCCACACTTCACCCGTGGTCGGCCTGGTACCTGAGCCAATGCTCACAACCCTCAAAAAGCAGGCGGAGCCTCCACTTACTCTTGATCTCCTCGTTGCACCGCAGACACAGTTGCCAGCTGCTTCGAGCCAGGGCCTTGGCGAGCAAGAGGCCAATCCGCGATCGACTGCAGCTAGGAGGTCCAATACCAATGAACCACGACCAGAGGCAAGACAACGATCGTCTGCTGCACGGAGGGCTAGTGCAGTGGAACCACGGCCCCATCTACTCCTAGCACAAGCACCAGAGGAGGTACGACACGCTAAGCAGCGCCTACTTCAGGAAGCGAAATCTGCAGTGGTCAAGCTCATTCCGCATGGAGACGATCTCCACCACTTCCTCCACGGCTACTTCAGGCAGCATCATGCGACGTATCACACCAGCCCGATGAACATGCCCGCCTGCGGAAACTGGATTTGGTCGCTCACAGCGGCTTTGATGACAAGGCCGGAGAGCCACCCCAATGTCTGGACACGCAGGCAGGCGGGCAAGCTGGGTGACGCGGTTGAGGGCTATCTCTACACGTTGTACCAGAAACAGACGGTGGAGAGTCTTGCCCTGCTGGCCATCTACGGGGAGGCAGCGAGGCACCTCCACGACCTAATGCAAGGAATCCCACATGCTATTTACTACCGCCTAAGCTGGCGGCAGTCGCTCGACACGCTCGAAGAGCTCCTCGAGCCGTGGATAGGAGTGTCAGATGCACAGGACAAGCGGTCTCCGCGTCCTGCAGTGCCACTGTCAATTCTCGACAGCAAAAAAGGGCCATGCAATCAGCTTGCGACACAAACTGCTGCCTGTACACATGTCGCATCAAATGCGCGCAGTTGTCTTGGTAGACGAGGTCGCAAATGGCGACTACGACCGACCGTCAGACGCAGACACCTACGAGGCAGGAGGCGCCGAAACTGCACTTCTTATCCATTACAAAAACTTTTCAGGCTTGCCACAAAGGCGCAACACATTAGGAACCACCTACAGCAACACACTAATAAGATCAGCAGCCTGAGTACAAGGCAATCGACGTCAGCAAAAAAGTCTAAACCAAGACGAAAAATACCTGAGAAGACGAGCACAACTACACCTGGACTGAGCTTGCCCGGTCCCAAGTCCGGGCTCTACGCACTCATTTGGATGACACACCGCATCACACGCGTAGGGGGGGTGAGGGTTCCCGTCTCCCACGGGGCGGGGGGACCCACAACAACTGATCGCCACTTTCGCGCATCCCTGGTGGGGAAGCAAGTGGCTGGCGAAACAACGGCGCCGGTGTTCGGGGCCGCAGGTGTCACCACTCAGGTGGGACGAAAAAGAAGCTTTCAGAGAGCACAACACCAGAGTACACAGAATACACTTGGCTACACTCGATATCGAGGGAGGTTTATGCATTGCAGTCAGTTGGGTCTCCACACTGCAACCATGCCCAGCCTAACGACGGCCAAACCACGCCGACCTCCTTGCAGACCACGAGGTGGGGCACAGCAACGTCTCAAGGTCCTGTCCATCAATGTTAACAGCCTAAGCGGGTTCCTCTGGGGTGAAGTCAAGGCGTTTCTTGGTGGAGAGGGCCTGCAGTATGACTTCATATTCCTACAGGAAACGCATCGCACTGCCTTTTGCGCATTCAAGGTTGACAACTGGATGGCAGTTGGCTCCTCAACAAAACGGGGAGAGGGTGTGCTCACACTGGTTCATCCACGTTACGATGCCTCCATGGTTCGTTACCAGGAGATAATCCCAGGCAGAGTTCTAAGAGTAAAGGTATGCCACAAAGAGGCAGCCATCGAAACACTTAACATATACCAACATGTTTGGATACACACGGATGATCCGGAACAAAACAAACAGAGGCGGCAAACCCTGCTCGATAAGTGCACTGCCACAATACAGGGCATGGCTAGAAGAGACACCCTGATTCTAGCGGGAGATTTTAACTCAGAGGTACACGCAGTAAACGGATTGATCGGGACACGCGTGAACCGCTCGGCCTATCACCAAGCCCTTGACCCACTCACACTTCCAAGATTCATACAAGACAACGCCCTGGTTGCTCTAAACACTTGGCATATGAAGGACCCATGCACCAACCACACCCGTACGGGCAACTCTCAGATTGACTATATCCTTGTGCGCGCACCAAGTGCTGACACCAGAGCGAAGCAAGTAGTCAAACAAGAGGCACCCTTTGGGGCGTGGAAAGAGCTCACACACTCGGCCCTCATTGCTGATGTCCGAATCATCAAGCACTTCCACTTGCCCAAGGCCAAAATGCAACAGGAACTACAATACTCGAGACATGACCTTGACTACGCGTATCGCCAGAAGGATCACCGAATCACACAACTAAAGAGTAAAGTGGAGTTGGAGATAAATCATAGCTTGAACCACGGCCTCCCACTGACTGCAGATCACATCAATCACACATTACTGCGTGAGGTCTCTGACCTCTTCCCAACAGCTACATCAGCACACACCAATCGAGGCCAAACCAAAGCACAGTGCAAAGCCATCTTTGCTGCGTGGAAAGAGCTGTTGACCCACCCTGACGAAGTAGGTGGCTCGACCATCACACTACCTGCCCGCGTCTACCACATGTGGCAAAGACGTAGGGATCTTCAGCGATGCAAGCCATTCACCCTGTCAGGAGTGCTTCGCACATGGCAATGGGTGCTCCTCTTCAACAAGGCAGGACGGCAGAGCAAGCAATATCATCTCCAGCATCAACGGGCCATAGCACTGGGGCACTTACAGCAAGCTGAAAGGGCCGCTCAGACGCATAACACGAAGCGTCTCTATGGTGCAGTCAAGCGACTCCTGCCCTGGAAGCCCAAGCCCAGGATCATGCTTAAGCACCCGGATGGATCGCCCATGTCTCTGCACCAGGAACACCAAGCACTTGTCCAACACTGCAAACAACTCTTCGCTCCCCCGGCGGCATCTCCCACTCGACCAGGCCAGATGCTTAGCATGCCTTTGACTGCCTGTGAATGGACGACACAGCTCAAATGTACTCCTATAGGCAAGGCCGTGCCTGCGGACTCCGCTCCGGCCACAGCATGGAAGGCCTGCGCGACAATTGTGGCGCCAGTCATGGCCTGCATAGCCAAAGGACTTCAGCCGGTAACCTCTGCACTACCTGATGCATGGAAGAACCCTCAGTTGTGTTTCCTTCCCAAACCACATAAGCCTCCATCCACCGCAGCTGCTCTCAGACCTATAGGCCTACTCAGACCGGATGGCAAGGCGTTTGCAGGCCACATCAAAAATCAGCTACTGATGCAGGCCTGCGCCAGCCTTACTCATACTCCACAGTATGCATACCTTCCGGCACGGGACACGTCGGATGCGCTGGCAAGGGTTAACGCATGCATACATGACATCAAGGACGGTCTTAAGGCCTTGGGTGGGAATAGGTTCCTGACGAGACAGCGCAAAGAAACTGGACAGGTCAAAGGCGAATCAGGAGGGTGCCTCCTGTCAGTCGACCTCAGCCAAGCTTTTGATCGTGTCAACCGTGCAAAACTAGATAGAGCGTTGGCGCTCCACCAGGTTGATGCTGACCTTAGATCTACCGTCACCGCCATCCACGAGCAGGCTGCTTACCAGGTCAGGGATAAATTTCACCGGACAGACATATGCACGACGCAAGGAATTCGCCAGGGATGTCGACTAGCACCAGCCCTATGGGCCGTGCTGTCGTCTCAGTTACTCTGGGATCTTACTCCCGCTGGTCAAACGCCGCTGCAGCTTCCATTCACGTTGTTCGCCGATGACCATTTAGGCCATTGGCTTCTCAAAACGGTGGATGATGCCAAGCAAATGGAGGAGACGATAGTGGCACTTTTTCACATGTTGGAAACATACGGGCTCAAGGTTAATCCGGATAAATCCAGTTTGGTCATTCGGGTCCAGGGAGCGCAACTTGAAAAATTTGTCAAAAGCCGCACGGTTATAGTTCGCAACCAGGCGCATTGGCAACTACAAGATGGAGCACAAACACATCTCATACCGATGTGTGAATCCATCACTTACCTTGGCACCAAGCTCACACTGAAAGAGGGCACCGGCCATACACTTGACTTTAGGCTTGCTGAAGCTGAGGCGAAAGTTACGCAACTTCGCAAAAGCATCAGATCACGCAAGGGATTGTCCAGGCACTACAGAGTACGGGTTTGGCAGGCTTGCGTGGTAAACAGTGCGCTTTATGGTCTGCTGACTACTCCCTTCTCTGGCCAAATGATAACTAAGCTGAGGGCGTGGTTTCACCGCCAACTCAGAGCGGTCACAGGCATGCCAGCTCACCTCACAAAGGTGAGTAATCAGACGCTGAGAGAAACCTACAACCTGAAGGATCCTGTACACATGCTGACGGAACGCATTGCGCGCAAACTTGATGCTATGCAACAAGGACGAGGCGATCCTGCCACGTGCGAAACTAAGACCTTTGAGTATTGGCAAATGCTACACAAACAACTTGCCAGCCATGCTGTGGAACAACGCACTGTGACGCTGGTGGAACTCTCCAGCTCTAGCCAACATCCCTGCTCCATATGTGGCCTATACTACCCGACCCAAAAAGCCCTTAGGCAACACCAGGCGCTCAGACACGGACAGATTCAAGCCAACAAACTCAGTATTGATTACAAACCCGAACAACATTCTGTTGCGGGCATGCCACAATGCAAACACTGTCTTCTGAAGCTGTATGACTGGGGTGCACTAAAAGGGCACATCATGCAAAATGTATGCGGTTGGCACACCAAACAGCTCAGCAACTCGAACAACAATAGCCAGCATGATACGAAGACTATTAACGAAACAGAGCCTGTTCCACACAAGATCGACACCACACATACCCCTGTTGACCCTAAAGAGCGGCAACACGAACCACGGAACACCAAGACTGAGGAGAGCACGCTCCTGCAAAACGAAGTGACACTGGCATTGCTTCAAAGTAATGAGGGAATATGCACCCAAGCAGCATTACACAAAACCTACCTCAAACAGCACTGCGGTTTCTGTGGCCGCTGGATCGCTGATGCCGGCATGATTAAAACGCATATCCAGAGAGTGCATACGAATCTTGCACGGCATATCACCTCAGACATACACACTTCATGCCAGGCCTTCAAGCACCTCTTCAAAAGGGACCATACATGTGAGTGGTGTGACAGAATGGTGCACGGCTCAGATCGGCATTGCTCTCAATGCCCAGTTCTTTTTCAGCTGATACTTGCAAGGACCAGCAGACAGGCGGCCTCCGCTTCACCTGAGACCCAGCTCCCTGCAGCATGGCCTGTACCACACCCAGGGATGGACGTTGCGATTTACCTCAAATCACCTACTCAAGATGAGATGCAACTGCACATACAACACATGTCCATGCTTGCCAAGACACGATGTCTCCTATGCGGTGAACAGGTGCAAGACATCCAACACTGGCGACGACACATGGCGCAGCGGCATGACTCTCAGAAACAGCTTGTCCAGAGTCTAGCTCAATCCGAAACACTGCTACAAGCACACGTTGCGCGACCTTGCTGCTGGTGCAATGTCCACTTCCCAAAGTCTGCTCGAGAACACAGACGAAAGTGCCTCCCTTTGCTACAGCTCTGCCTGTACCATGACCTCCACGTCAGTGGAGACCACGCCGGAGCAACAGATGGCGGCAGTGTGGGGCCTCAGCTCACCACTGGCGACGACGCCTACACCACAGAGACAAGCGTCCGTCAGACACAGACTGCTGCAAGGGACGCCGCAAAAGTATCGAAAGGGCATGGGCAAGGGCGCAGGCAAGGCAGCTCCCAAGGCAAAACGGGATCGGGACCAGGAAGCAGAAGACGAGTTGATGATGGACCTGGAGTCGCTGGACGAGGAGACGGTGAGAACGGCCTTGAAAACCTTGGTCAAAACAGCACTCAGACACGAGCACCAACTGACGATCTTGGAGGCAGACCGGAGCTACGTGTTCTTCCTGGACACGACGAACCACGGCATTGTCTCCATGTTGATCCAGGCCAGCGCAACATGGAACACAAAGTTCGAGGAAGGCACGGTCAACACCTCGCTGAGGGCCACGCTATGGGGAGTACTACTCATGGAATGGAAAGCACGCCTCGAGAAAATCGAGTCCGACGCCAAGGTACTACAGGTAGCAGAAACAGCAGGCTGGGCAACGCGGTCTCCGCTCCAGTGGATCTACAACGAGTGGAATCCGGTACAGAAAAAGGCGCTACCATCAAGTCGGGACAACCTCACTCACGAGGACGCAAAAAAGGCAGTCAACCAGCTCATCACAAACACCGCCAAGGACAACACGGTGCACCGGTTCCAAAGCCTACGACCACTGAAGCCGGACCTGCAGGCGGAAGTGATCACCATGGTCCTGACACTCACCGTCCATCAACAGGCGGCAGCCGTTTACCACGACCTGGACCTCTTGGCAAACAACTGCGCGGGCAAGCTGATCGGTCTACGCTTGAGACGGGAGCGCGTGGGCAAGACGACGCTCACCAAGGAGCTCGAGAGACTGCAGATCTAAAAAGCAAGCAAGAGAAATTCGGGGGAAAGCGGACTCCGCGCCCCATGCTCAGTCAAAAAGAGACTGAGAAGGAGCAACTGCAGACAGGCATCCGCAATTTCTTTTCAGCCCCCGTCCATGCCATGTCAGCGAAAAAACCCCGTAGCACTCTGAATGATCCGGCTTGCACTAAGAACAAGGACAAAGGCAGCATGGATGGGGCTTTGGGGCATTCGGTGAGTGCGACCACTGAACAACCAGTGAAGAGTACACCGAAACAGGGTCAAGTAGGCATCCCGTCAAGGGGGAAACATGGGACTGCGGGCGCGGGGACAAAAGTGGAGGGCTCTTTATTGGCATGGCGCACCCGCGATCGTATAACCAATGAGCCTCATGCTAGATCACTCGCACTAACTAATCCACATAACCTTTGCTATGCCAACGCAGTGATTCACATGCTGCACTATGCTCGGTCCCATGATGCTTTTATATCAGGTCTGGGCGAAGTCAATGGGGCCATCGTACAGGCCTCAAGATCCAACCAGCACCTGAATATTGCCAGACACCCGGCATGGAACTTCATATGGCCGGGATGGCAGAAGCCCACGCGACAGCATGACGCGGCTGAGTTTCTGCAGCACCTTTGCAACCGCACGGACTGCGTGGCACTCAAGGGGGGATGGGAAGCTAGACGCCCACAAGCAGGGGTGTATGAAATCCTGGATGAGCAGTTCAGCTGTCCACACATAAGACTGGTGGTCCAACACCCCTTCAGAATACAGGATGCTGTAACAGCTTGGCATACACAAGACCCGCCACATGCCTTAACTAGACCCCCCGAACTTCTCATCCTCCAGATCGGACGATTTGTCCAATCAGCCGGCGGCATTAGGAAAACGCGGCAGAGGATTGAAATGCACAAACATCTCACAGTTCCCACCTTCACTGGACATGCCGGTGACGTTGTCAACACCCCGTACAAGCTATGCGGAGGGGTCATGCATATAGGCAAGGTGGTAACGGCCGGGCACTATCAGGCATTCTACTTTCCTGGTGACACTGAGGATATTTGGTCCTGCCACCTCGTACATGACGACGGCCAGGCCGCAACGCCAGGGACGGATGCCACACGACAGGCCATTCGCACAAACTGCCACTTGCTTGCATACCGCATCAATAGCCATGTGTGACTCTACTTGGGACAGTGGCCTCCACTCCCCACTGGTGTACACAGAACATTCATGACTCTCAAGCTCTAAACATGAGAGGCTAACTCTCTACACTCAGTACAACAAGGCCTGAGGTCTCCTCGCCTTGTGAGTCGACACTCTGACAAGGAGTAGACATAGGCTGTAGACAAGCTGGCCCTCATGATGTCTCCTGTACAGTTTTTTGCTTGTTAGCTTCACTTGTTAGTTCCCAGCTGTGACACCTCAGCTGTCGGGCTCTGAGGAGCACAGCTTTGCGGCTGCCAAAGGCAGTATTTATCTTTCTAGGATTGTACAACTTTGCTGTCGGGCTCCACGGGGCACAGCAGGGTTTATCTGCCTCACACCGGCGAACCCTCCAGCAGAGAGGGGTGACTAGCTCACACTCGCCCGCATGACAACTGCCACAGTTGATGCGAATGAATGAATGAAAAAAAAGATGCACCATCGAGGGGACAGGGCCATCTTGTCCTTCCGTTGGTAGGTGCCACGCAGATAGCTTCATTTCCTCCGCTGATCGGCCTTAGCGGGTGAATGTCGAGAGGGGTGTTTCTGCACCCGCGGAGCCTCTACCGCATTCGGGTGCTATGCCCTCAACCTGTACGTTCGAACAACCCCCGCGTGAGATCGAATTGGGAAAAAGCAGAATCTGCGCGTTTGCATTACATGGGTACATGGTATTCTGACATGATGCAATATTCTTAAAGATTGGAAATACCTTTCAGCTGATTTGCCCAAAAGTGTTTTGGATAAACCCCGACCTGGGCGAGGCAAACTTTCAGCTTCGCTGACAGTTCTCTCGATTGGGGAGGTAGGCCGCTTGCGGCCGGGTTTAGAGAAACAAGAGTTTTGGGCAGAACTCAGTTAGCTGTACGTTGCTTTGTAGCAGAGCTTTCCACCATTGAAAAATCGGTGCTTTTGTTTTTAAAATACTCTGTATGGGTTTGAGGGAGACATGCTTCAGCCATGCACTTGATTTTTAAAGATGTGGGCAAAAGTTTCCTCCGTGCGACGTTTTGTGTGCTTTCACGATCTGGCTTGCTTGTTGTCGCGCAAGTGGCTCATGTTGAGAGCGACAATCATGGGAGGAAATTTTTGAACCCGCCCACCCTCCCGGGGGTGTTTCTGCACCCGCGGAGCCTCTACCGCATTCGGGTGCTATGCCCTCAACCTGTACGTTCGAACAACCCCCGCGTGAGATCGAATTGGGAAAAAGCAGAATCTGCGCGTTTGCATTACATGGGTACATGGTATTCTGACATGATGCAATATTCTTAAAGATTGGAAATACCTTTCAGCTGATTTGCCCAAAAGTGTTTTGGATAAACCCCGACCTGGGCGAGGGACCTGGGCGAGGAGAGCAGAGGCAGAGAGCAGAGCAGAGAGCAGAGCAGAGAGCAGAGCAGAGAGCAGAGCAGAGAGCAAGAGCAGAGAGCAGAGCAGAGAGCAGAGCAGAGAGCAGAGCAGAGAGCAGAGCAGAGAGCAGAGCAGAGAGCAGAGCAGAGAGCAGAGCAGAGAGCAGAGCAGAGAGCAGAGCAGAGAGCAGAGCAGAGAGCAGAGCAGAGAGCAGAGCAGAGAGCAGAGCAGAGAGCAGAGCAGAGAGGAGCAGAGCAGAGAGGAGCAGAGCAGAGAGGAGCAGAGCAGAGAGCAGCAGAGCAGAGAGCAGAAGAGCAGAGAGCAGAAGAGCAGAGAGCAGAAGAGCAGAGAGCAGAAGAGCAGGAAGCAGAGCAGAGAGCAGAGCAGAGAGCAGAGCAGAGAGCAGAGCAGAGAGCAGAAGAGCAGGGAGCAGAGCAGAGAGCAGAGCAGAGAGCAGAGCAGAGAGCAGAGCAGAGAGCAAAGCAGGCAGAGAAAGAGAGAAAGAGAGCACATTGGCGGCGCGTGTGGCTTGAATTGTGCAAAGCAATGCTGTGGGGAGAAGTTCTATCCCTCCCTCGTATAGGCGACTTGCAGTTTCGACAGTGAGCGCCTCTAGGAGTCCCGGCAAGGTTTTGCACAGGGCCAGTCAAGTTCAAGTGACCCGTGGTCACTGCGCTGTCACTACTACTGGACTCGTTGTTCTAAATACTGCTGTGGGACCCGCAGAGCCCTGACAGCGAGCGTTTCGTTCCAAGTCTCCAGTGGCCAGTGGTCCCTGCAGGGTGGCTGTGATGCTCGCGCAAGTGGCCTCGTAAGCTGCTGTCGGCTAGCATGTCAGACAAGGCGTGTCGCCGGAGGTAGTAGCTTTGAGAGCGCTTTGGCCACTGTGCTGCTGCTACAAAGACGCGCAGTGCCGCAGCGAGCGTTGATTCCTGCGAAAGGACTTGTATAGTCCTGAGCTAGATGGTAGTTGAAGAGTCGGGAATTCCCTGGTTCCTGAACTGTATGCCTGTAGCGCGGTTTTCGGATGTTTTCGGGTGTCTTTGTACGCTCCATTGTTCGAACCCTTCATCGGCTCAACATCGTCGATGTCGCGCGACAGACCGTTTTTGGTTGCAACTGCGGCGACACGCTACACGCGGAGATAAACGGCGCGGCAGCAGTTCTTCTGATGCTTCCGGTGGTGTTCCTTTCGACCGAACGCAGCTCGCGAAATTTTTGCTATTTTTTGCCTTTCGCCGCAGCATGCCGACCAGCTGCCGGTGACTAGGTGACAAATGCAAAATTCAGCTAAACACGCAAACTTAGGTTTAAGTTTGTTTAGACACCCAGTGGTAGCGGCGGGCTGCATTCGGGACAGGAAAACGAATCGTTGATGGGACAAATGGAGCACTCTGTTTGTTCAGGCTCAAAGCAACACAGAAGCATTCATCTGTACACTTCTTCATCAGCTATACATTTTTCGCAAAAGTTTTCTTGTTGCTTGTGATGCTGGACATACAGTCCAACTAGCTCAGATGTTCGAGAACTTTAGCTGCCTACCCCGAAGAAAAGGTAATCCCACATGCGTGTCTACGGGGCCTACACGCTGTGCAACCTGAGCCTGAGCCTTCAAGAGCTGCTGGATCTCCGCCCAACACTCTGCCAGCTGGTGCCTTGCAAGCCGTCCGGATTGAACCAGAATGCAGGTTGCACTCATGCATCGCATACTCAAACCTCATCAGGGTCCACATCTCTTCCTTGAAGCCTCGCCAACTCATCGAGATCTACTTCGAACTCGGTACGTCCTCTCCACTGCTGATCTTCATGCCGCCTCGCATGATCTGGATCCATGAAGTGATCATCCCAGATGATCCTGTCCCCATTGACAAACTCTTGCAGCGTACGTCGCGCCCCTGTAAGGGCAGTGAGAGGAATCGGCGCAGTTGTCCGCGCTGGGCTGAGTAATCTCACACGCGGCCTCATATGCCATCTCCCCAGAACCCGTGGTCTCACTTCAGGCACGTAGATGTACTGATCAGTGTGGTAAGCCGGAGGTTGTTCTTGATACAGCGAACTCGCAGGACCACCCCACTCAGATGCCATTCCGATGCGGGTGAAGCACGATAGGTATCAACGGGGCCTGTTCAGCATCCCAAACAACACCTCAGCCCGCTCCCTGACTTCGAGAAGATGCCCCAGTCCAGTGGCCCTCCACCCTGAAAACTTGGGAGGGGCGCGAGGTCGGAGACCCTAACGACTACTTGATGGGCCAGCATGCCGGCCCACTCACGCTCAACTGCCCTAGGAACATGCTCAGAACCGACACCTCTGTCATGGGGCGGTGGCTCATCACCAGGTTCGGGAGCGTAAACTCTCAAAGCATGACGCCTATGGCCTGCTGCTCTCGTTCTGTGGGGTGTGCAGGCGTTGGCCTTTGTGGAGCAACGTACACAACGTCGCAGCGCCATGCGCGCGCCGAGATTCGTCAGCTGAGGCCCTGAGAGCCCAGCCACCCACCTGTGAGGGTTTACCTGTTCTGGTTGCGTTTTTCTGAGTTTTCCTCATTCTTTCATTGTGCCTGCCAGTTACCATTTGGTGCTGCCAGATGACATCGCTACAACGTCAATGTACCGAAAGGGCATTACACCAGGATCTTCATCACGAGGCTCAGCGTCACGCTGGGGCCTGTCAGCTTCTTCAAGGAGATCCTCTTTATCAGGCTCCTGCTCCCTTTCAGATTCGGAGGCTTCTGGGTCTGGTTCAGGCATATCCCAGCTTGCGAGTTTCCGGTAACACACTCGGCAGCCCCACCTGAACATCTCCCAGGCAACGATCACAAACACGCTCCAAAGCAACACAACTCTCCAGAAGACAAAGTCATCAGAACCATCACTCAACGGTTGACCCTTTGCTGATGCCACGCAAAGTGCAGCGACAACGACCCTGAGAGCTTCCTCTACCGGTGGACCTGACGAGACAACCGCAGAGCTGGTGCGTTCGCGAGCAGTGACCTCAGAGAAACTCAAGACTCCCATCATGGCCCGGAGCCTTTCGAACCGCGATGGCTGGAGTGCCTTAGTTCCTAAATCTGCGGTGTTGCATTCACCTGCAACGTGAGATACTGAACATTCACCAGCGCTGATCTGCTGCCGCAAATGTGCTGCACGAATCCGCAGATGGCGAGTCCGCCAATTGGTGGACTGAGCATTGCATATCGTGGTAGCCGCGAGATTGTCGTTAAGGATCCGCACGTCTACCTTGCAACCCTCGATTTCCTCGATCACGAAGCGCTGCGACCTCCCGTACGAGAAGCCATGGTCACGGAAAGTAATTCGGCTTCGGCCGTACTAGCTGCAACAAAGGGTTGTCGGGTTGACAGCCAACCCGTCAACGACCCCAGAGAGTAAACCATTGTGTGGGTGCGAACGCAGCGTCTGTTTGGCCTCAACAACATACTTGCCATTGACAGAAGCAACCGAACCCGTCTCCCCCTGAGCTGGATACTGGTCTGTGTACAAGAGGCCAAAATCTTTGGTGCGATACAGATACCCTAGCAAGTGAATGCAAAGTGGCCTAACTGCAGCTGCATTCTTGGACATCGCCTGAGAAAGACGAGAAACAGCGAAGCCAACATCTGGCCGAGTTCGTGTACTAACCCACAGCGCTTCTCCTAGCATGGCCTGGCACTGTTTAAGGTCGCTGGCTGATTGCACCTCGGCAAGCGGTCTGTCCAAGGTTCCTGGGGGAAGAGGTGTGGAGGGAGCGGGAAGGTCACGATACCTTGTACATTGTAGCAAGCTCCGTTACGTAGTCTCGCTGGCTGAGATGAAAGCTCCGACCAACTCGCCTGATTTCATACCCAAAGAACACCAGGGGCGCCTCAGACGTGTTCTCAGGTAGAAAAGATACCGCGCCACATTGCCAAAGCTTGGAGATCTCAGCAAGCAGTGGCCGAATAACGGCCAACGGTCCCGTAGCAAGAAGATCATCAACGTACACCATCAAACAAGCCATCACAGGGTCCGACTTGCAGCCAGTAGTCAAGAACCACAGATTGTTGTCAACAGCCGACATCACCAACCGACATTCACGGTTGCCAAGCATCAACCGAACAGTGCGCAGATCCTTGTCGCGGCGTATGCCCCAGTCACGCGGAGATTGGTCCAGGCCGTAGACAGCCCGCAAGACAAGCGTAAAGCTGCGTGGAGGCACCAAGCCATGCTTGACCAACAGCGAGGGTGGGCGGAGCACAACAATTTCTGACGGAACTTGCTGAGAGAGAGGCGCCGGCTTGGTGAGCGGGCTCTGGCGAAGCTCAGCATTTAAAAATGCTGTAGACACGTCAGTGGATCCGGCTGACCACCTCTTCTTGACTGCGAGTGCCAACACCTGTCTCAGTACCGCTGCGTCAATTCCGCCGGCATACAGATCCACGCTTGCACTCCGACTTTCGCCGTCCTTGCCACTAAGATCAACGTAGTTGCCACAAGCCACCAACCGGGCCTTGAATCTACCGCCGCTTTTTGTGGTACACACCAGCTTACTTGGGATGATCATGGCATGCGTTCCGGCTTCTTGGTACTTGGTCAGCTCTGCCTCCGAAATCACTCTGAGAGCCTGCTTGTCATCGATCATCGAATGCAGCTCCTTTTCGAGAGTCTCCTTCCAAAGATCATAGTACCGCTCTACTTCAACCAACGGCACCGTATGCGTGCACAGAACCTCAGCATCTGGCAACAAACTGTACTCTAGCTCTTCACCAGCCTTGGCACAGCTGGTTTGCTCAAGCTCAAGAATCTTCCGAACAACGGCATGCCTTTTAGCATCTTCTGCTGGACATCGTTGGCCCACATCCGCATGCTGTCTACACTGAGCCCTGCCCTCGTACCACGCCTTTAGGTTCCTAAGTGACACTTCAGGGTCAACTTCACCCGGACAAAGGCCCAATGAAACCGAACCCTCATCCTCATCACCCTCAAACGCACCAGACTCATACAACTGCCAAGTATCGGGGAAAAAGGGGGAGAAGGGAAGGGACAACCTTACCTAAACCACTGCATGACAACGAAGTTCCGCCTGGTGCTCCGCACTCAGCTTCTCTGAGACAGGCGATCCGAGAGTCATCACGACCTGCAGACCCAACCGACCCGCACGCTCCCGAACCTTCCACCTGCACTCCAACACCGGGCTGACGAGCATCAGGAGCATCAAATGGCCCCTCGAACCCCTCGCCAAACGCCCCATCTACGAAACTCCCATCCTCGAGACGCCCAAGCAACGATGGCGAAGCCTTTAAAGAACGACCCACTGACAACACATCTCTCTCACAGAGCGAGCAGACTGCAGCAGAGTCCTTTACGCACGCCCCGCACTCAACGCCCAAGCACCCAGGACCCCGACCCGCTACCGAGGCCTTACTAAGTCCCAGAGTCTCATCATTTCCTTGACCGACGCGATCAAGGTTGGCAGGGGCGATCAACTCCCTAGCCAAAGACGAATTTAGGTCTCCTACGAGTCCTCATCCACAACCGCACTCCCCCCGCCCTGCGCCTCAGCTCCTGCACATGTTTGAGAAGTGTCAACGCTAGGAACCACCGCAGATTCCCGGCCAAGATTCATGCTCCCCCGGCCCTGCGCCTCATCACTTGCGCAGGCTGTTGAAGCCTTAAAAACTTGCTCCTTATGGGCCGTAACAGAACCCTCGTCTTTCTTTAAGGGTTTGGTGCTTTTTATGGTTTTTTTGGGATTTTTGGGATTTTTGTGATTTTTGTGATTTTTGTGATTTTTGGGATTTTTGTAGCGTGTCTGAGTCTCCCCCCCTTTTCAAAAGCAGCTTCAGGAAGACATGCAACGGCGGAAAAACTTGCACCTCCAGGAAAACCTAGCTCACTCAGAAGCTGAACTTGTTCTGGCGTGGGCTTGCTGAACCTTTTTAGGTTATATGCAACCAGCAAAACGCGACGACCTTCACTCCAAGGCTCGGAAGCATGCCACACATGCGGGTCGAACCTAAACGGAGTAAGGTCCCACCAGTCTCACGTCGTGCACTCTGCCCAGATTCCACCGCCCGAGGGCGGCGCCGCAAGCGGAAGGACCAAACTTGGGGAACTGTCATTGTACCTGTCTTTGTGAGGGGCCGACTTGACCTGATCGAGGACTGCCACCGTGGTCCAAGTATCTTCAGGGGCAACTTCGCGAAGGATGCAATTCAAGAGCCTAGCAAATCCAGGACTGCGCTTTGCGGAAGCCGTAACACCGTTCACGCCCCCATGCTGAAAGAAGCCTACTACCTTACAAGCGCCGGCGGATTCATGCATCAATGGCCTTTGTTTGGCCTGGCGGGTTCGAGCCTAAGAGAAAGTTGACTGCCGCGGTCAACGGAAACGGCTTCGTGTCAACGAGCTCTTGGGCTTTCAGGTCCTCGGGGTCTTCATGAATACTTGCAACGGTAGTCTTGGCCCTGTACCTACGGCGTGTAGAGGACTGAAGGGGGATCGCTTCCGTTGCCTTGTCTTCGGGAATGACAAACCTGGCTGGATCAAGAAAATCAACATTTTCGTACACGCAGCTGGTATTGTACAGCTCATCCCTGACGGTTCGCACGAGATACCCTCCATCAATCTCAAATGCTGGAGCGAGAACTCTGGCTTCAACGGCCTTGGCAGCCCATTCCTTGTCAGCATCTTTCTTCAAATGCCAAGTTCGGCGATGAACGAACACCTTTGCCCCAAATGGAACAAGAGACGGTAGATCCCAACCCAGCATTTTCACCCTGGACTGAAACAACCTCCCCGCTGCATGCCTCAAAGCGTATGGCCAGTCCTTTGGACCCAACTGCGCATCCCGCAAGAGAACCCTGACAGAGTCCTTAAGAATCCCGACTAAGGCTTCTGCCGCGCCATTTGAGCGCCAGTTGTCACCCCCAGTAGAGGACTTCCAAATTCCAGTCCGCGAGCATCGATGAGCTTCAGTGCCCTCAGAACCTCCTGAGCCCCTTTATCCTTCAAAGCAGCTCGCCCGCCTTTTTGTGCTCAGCGTCAGGCTCTTTGTAATCGCCAGCTTGTTCCCACTCCGCCGGCTCTTCACTTGCACTGAGTGCTTGCTTGTCAGGGCTCTCAGCTACTGGCTCCTCGCCCCCCGCAACATGAACATCGACCGGAACTGACAAGTTAGCTGCGAGAAAATACCTGGCCTTCGCGCCTTCATGTACACCCACGTCAGCCCTGCCGGTACCGCCGATCGGAGTTGATCGTCTCAGATGCTCAGGCAAACGAGGAGGTGGACACTGCGCAGAAGGTTGCCACCACTGCTGCTTGTTTAGTTCAGCCACCATCTCTGCCGACAGTCCTCCTCCATATCCTGAGGTTGCTGTTCCCAAGCCCATTGTACCACCACAAGGACCCATGACACCACCGCCAAAGCCAGCATCCAAAGGAAAACTTCCAGGCAGCGCAGCAACAGGTCGTGGCTCTGCTCTAGCCGAGTCTTGAGACATTGACCCCCTGGAGCTTTCCTAGCCGCTCCAACCTGTCTGCAAGCAGTCTTTGGGTTTGAAGCACAGGCGCTAACTGTTCGGCCAACAAGCCCTGAAGCATGCTAGAGAGCGAATCCAAAGGACCTGGCCCATAGGCCACAGCATCTTGAGATACTCCTGGCTGCACTGCACGACCAGTCCACGAAGAAGGAGCCGCTGGATGCTCCGGAAGTTGTGAATAATCTGGGATCAGCTCGACCTCGTCCACTTCCACTGCCCGATGGCTTCTTCTGTACAGAGCCGTGAGCCGGCGTTGCCGAAACAAGCTCACCCCCGCCCAAACCAGGAGCTGGCGCAGGCGTTGGACTTGTTTCTCCCACTCTGGCCACTACTGGCCCAAAAGGAGAACCAACATCAGCAAGATCGCGTGAGCTAGCCGCTTGTCTCGCTGTTTCCTCCGACCCACCTGAACATCCTTCGTTCAGTAGCTCCCTTGTGCATCCAGTCCTACAGCCCCAAACAGGCGATAGTCAGGCTCAAGCGCCTGGTTCGCCACACGAGCACCACTCAACTGCTCATCCGGAGATGGCAAGTCCACATCGCTTGGAACATCTGACGCATTTGGATTCTGCATCACCTACAGAGCGTTGGGCCCATAACCATGGGACAAATGGAGCACTCTGTTTGTTCAGGCTCAAAGCAACACAGAAGCATTCATCTGTACACTTCTTCATCAGCTATACATTTTTCGCAAAAGTTTTCTTGTTGCTTGTGATGCTGGACACACAGTCCAACTAGCTCAGATGTCCGAGAACTTTAGCTGCCTACCCCGAAGAAAAGGTAATCCCACATGCGTGCTACGGCCTGAGCCTTCAAGAGCTGCTGGATCTCCGCCCAACACTCTGCCAGCTGATGAGGCGCGTACCTTGCGGGAGCCGCTCGTTGAACATCGTGCGAAGCTGCTACAAGCTTCAGCAACGCCGGGCCCAGTGTCCGGAGATCCATTGTAGCAGGCGCAACGCGCAACGACTTCAATGCTGCGTGTCTTCCCGCCCCGCGACCTCATGATCCCGAAATAGAATAACTATCTAGTTGAGCAGCTGCTCGAGGATTTGAAGGACGGCGGGGCACAGCGGTCAGCCGACTTCGAGCATGTGCAGTGGGATGGCTGGCTTTTGCGGGGTGTTTTCGTGGGCATCGTGAATGGTGACATGCGGTCGTTAGGAAAGATTGCTTTCTCACTTGCAGCCCCAGCCAAGTCGTTCACGTCATGTGTGCCCGATCCCGACCACCCAAAACAGATCGCATCTTGGGCTGTCTTCCAAGATTCGAACCGTTGGGCGGGAGAGTGCATTCGCACTCTCGCGGCCCGGCGGACCTAGCAGTTCAAGGCAAGCACGCGTGCCGCCGGCCAAGGCTATCGCTGCAGTACATGAAGCTTGGTATGGGAGAGGTTGTAATGCAAAATGCTATAATAGTACCATAGCACTGATTTTGACAGGGTCGGGTGCGCACGCATCACGAGCGAAACAAGATTGACCCAAAAACCCATCGTGCTCCGGGCCTCCCGTGGGGTGTAGTTTGAGCACTTTGCGTGCGGGCAGCGCAACAACTTTCTGATTGGATCGAGGAATCGGTCCTGCCTCAAAAGGGACAACACAGTAAAGGGGACAAGAGTGGACCTGGCCTATACCCGGCCGACGGAAAAGTCAGCCGCGTGCACTGGTAAGTCGAGAGGGAGCAGTGCCCAACGTGCGACGCTGAGACGGAGCGTCGGGAGCGAAACGGAGAGCTTGACAGCGCGCTGCAGAGGCCATCGGACTGTTTTTCGATTTGACCACACGAAACCGACCCCCCCCCCTCCCAGTAGCGCCGGAAAGTAGCGTACGGAACCACTGCACCTTGATGCACAGCGACGTGCGGGCTTCAAGCGGTAAGAAGGCGTCAGAGTAGCCCGTCTGTTCGAAACGAACTATCGCCTTTTCCCGGGCAGGAGGGAGGGCGGAGCAGCAATGCCCGAAGAGGCCGGCGGCGCACACAGGCGCCGATGTTAAAAAGATGTTGGAAGTGGTGCTGAAGGACGGATGACCGACACGTCGGTGCCATTTCACATGCGGCGGTATCTCTGCACGACTTGCGAGCAGGTGACCCGCGGAGCATGCGCGGGAACTTGACAACACCAATCACACTGGATTATTTGCGATGCACTTATATGGTTGCATACTCACTTGCGTACTGCACTTGTATGCACTTCAACTGCGTGGCGCTCAAGTGTGTTGACTTGAATGCCATGCACTTGTGGTCAACTCTATTAACGTCATTGGAAGTCAATACATCTGAAGTTAACGGACTTGAAGTCGGCATTTTTCAACTTAATGCACTTGAGCAACTGTAAGAACTTCACTTGTATGCACCCGACTCGGCTGCGCACGTCCAATCCACGCGAAGCCATGAAAGAAAAGACATAAATATCCAACCGTTCGCAAGACAGCACGCAGTGCTGTCTGAAGACGCTGGAGGTCGGCGAGCGCTTTTTTCTTCGACTCCCGCAGCAACACAGCAAAATGTCAAAGCGTGCATTCAGTTCTACGCATGCAGCACACACAGACAGCGCAGGATGCCTTCTCGTGTTTCTTGACGTCGTAACACTACCTACACGCAGCAACAGTGCAAAACAACAGACACGCAGCGCACGAACACGAGCACATACACACAGTGCGGGATGCCTTCTCCCCTTCATTGACGTCTTCGCGCCCCATGACATCCAGAT